TTTCCCAAAATGATTTAACACGGTGAGAATTTGTAGGTTTGCCAATTCAACTTCACTGGGAACTAAAAGCAAATCGGTTCCATGATTTTTTCGTTGGGTATTTTTGAAGGGAAATATCCCAAGAGTAAATTTGGATTGTTTTAGGTCAATAGTCAAAAATATGTTGCAATATTTAAAGAAATTGACTTTAATTTGACAGTATTTGGTCAAATTAACAACAAATAATGGATTATATTCAAAAGGTCCAAAGCTTTTATTTCAACACACAAGGATTGAAAATAAATGGTACAGAAGGTCCAAAATTACAGTCAGGAAGTAAAAGTTTACATTGAAAAGTTAACTTTTGAAAGAGACTGTCCTTTGAACTTTGGACCTTGTGATGTTAGTTATTACTATATTATATTTCACAAGGTCCCAATTTCAGAAGGCCCGAGAGGTTATTTCAGTACACAAGGTACAAAACGTGAATGGTACAGAATGTCCAAGACTAGGAATAGGAATAATCGCGTCTCTCAGATTGAAGACATTTGAATACTATACTGATGTAAGGGAAATGTTAATTAAATTTAAATTATTTTAATTCACATAATATAATGTACATATAATATCATGATCAATGGCTAACTAGTTTGACTGTTATTACACTTCACCTTGTTGGCAGAACTGGAGAACAGCTGTTAATTAACTAAAGTCATTCTTGTAATGAGCTGTTTCTTCAAATCTTTCTTAGTTGGCTGATTCCCTTAAAAATTGTACAAACTCGTGAAAATACGAGTTCAAGCATTAGGCCTACTGTACTTGAAACAGTCATAGTCCGTAGGAACTGGGAATCACAGCCTATTTAAGCCAGTCAAATCGTAGGAAATTTACCAAGTAAGACTGTTGCCATTTAATTACTGATATAGTAATATTAGGTATCATTTATAAGGAAGATTATAAAGGATCTTCATTATTTTGAAGAATAAAACTATAATTTGTTAATACCATGCATTGGAGTAATTTGTGCAGCATCCTACCATCTGAGGGAAAACACCAAATGATAGGTTATCTCAGCAAACACTGTCTTAGCTGTTAGCTTGGTGTTGAAGAATAATAATTCTAAATTAAATCTTGCCTACCTACTCTCCGGTGATTGGCCATACAGGGGTACTGGGTAGCGTATAGAAGTGCGCGACTCTGCTATTTTATTATTAATTTCAACCCTTGCGCTTATTTAAAACCTAGACATTGTGGTGAACTTTGCTAACCTCAAGATAACTTTGCTAGCCTACAAGAAAATTTTAAGAAGTGACATAACTTCTGCCATAAAATTAGATTGTTTCAGCAAGTGATTCATATAAACTGCCAAAATTATTCTGTGTATGAATAGGTCTAGTAATTCCCGACAATGGAAAAATTCAATTTAAATTATTTAAGTAAAGATGAACTTAAGTATGAAATTTTAAGTAGAGGAGAAGATTCTACCTTTGACAACGTAGAAGCACTCAGGAAACAGCTCAGATCTATTTTACAGGTTCAACCAGATGTGAACAATCTTATTGGGAAATTAGCTTTAAGTACTGAATTTCAAACCGTAGAAATTAAGGTAGATCGATTTCAGCTACTTATAGAACAGTGTGATACCCAACCGAGCAACCTGTACATAGCAAGAATGTCAGCTCTATGTACTCATCTGCACCTTAGAATAAGTAATATAAGCGCATATATGTTAGGTCCAAACTGCTTCGGTAAGTTGGACAAATTGAAGGTCAATTTACAAGAACTGCAAAGCAAATTTGATGAAATCAAAAACCAAGTATCTTTACCTGAATTGAACCAATATGAAGAGGATTTAAATAAGTCAATCGTCGAGGAAGAAAACTTAGTTGAACAGTTAACTAGCCCGACAAAACCAAATAGGCCTAACCTAAATCATACTTCTACACCGGAAGGGACGAATCAAGAAACTACAATTAAACCTATAGAGCCTACTGAAACTAACCTAAATGAAAACCCTAACATGCAAAATAATATGTTAAATATGCCTACAAATCCTAATCACACGCAAATACACACCATGCCTATATACAAGTTACCTAACCCTGTTGAAGGTTATCTCAGTGAGATCACAGAATGCAATGGACTCGAATTGACCCCCTTGCTTTCATTTTTACGAAATGCAATAATAAGCAAAAATGAAGCTAACATCACTGATCAACATTTGTATGGCATCTGGCCCAATCACACAAAACGGCCCTTGAGCACAAAAATCGTGGAGTGTAAAACTGTTGGATTCACAATGAATAAGGTAGGCCTACTTGAATCAATCGTAGAAACCTATGTTCCTGTGACGTTAAAGGAAGAAGATGTACCAGATCAAAAGGAAAAAGAACTCGATTTACAAGTCAGCCTAACTGCCATCAATGCATCGACCAAAACATCCAACTTCAAATTGATGTTTGACCATGAGCCCAGCTGTGCGCTAACCAACCTGTGGGACAGTAAGAGTCTGATATGCAGCGACCTAACGATGGAAGAAATGAAGCAAAGCCTGAACCAAAGCATGAGAAATTCAAGAAACTGTGTGAAATTCGACAGACATTGGTGGAGATTATCGCCTAAGAGAGCAAAACATCCATTTAAGTTAAAGTCTCATGTACTTATTCGTACACATTACTTAAGCAATGAGGCCAAGAAGTTACGTAAGAAAGGTTAAGTAAATGTTTAGTTCAATGCAACCCATGAGTGTAGGCCTAGTTTGTTTGTTATTTCAGGTCATAATTCAGGTCACGGGTCTTATCTTGAAACCAAAGTTTCAACTTGTAAATACATGAATGGAATGATGCCAGGGATGCAACTTTAGTTGAAAAGGAAAAGTTATGTTATTATTAAGATTGATGTATAATTAATTAAGATCGTAGGGACAGAAATTTTTGTTATTTTAATATTGTTAAGTTAGGCCTAGTGATTTGAAATGAAAATTTTATGGAGTTCGCTAATAAGTTATTGCACCATAGTATGAATGCGTGGAGTATATGTTTGTATAAATCCGTGAATGTTTGTGACACGAATGGTTTGTATGTTTGTATGATCTGAATGATACTTTTAGATTTAAGGCACACTTTAACTACACTAGACACTTTCACACGCAAATAACACAAAACTATAAATTTAAAGTAAAACATCACACGACACACAAACCACAACACACTAGTAAGCTATTCAAAACTGAAATGGCGATTTCTTTTTAAAACAAATCACTTGATGCTATTTTCCAGGTTGGCCAACACAGAGTTTTTTGTTTGAGATTTTGAATGTTGATAAAACAAATGAAAAATGAGTTCTATGATCTTAATGTTATACAACTTCTTGAATTGTCAGGGTATATGATTTAAATGTATCTGTAAATAGTTTGTTAGGATAAGAAACATGAACATTTTGAATTATTTAAAAAGATGATTATTGATTATCAATAAAGGTATTGCTTTGAATGTTGGTAGCACTGTAGCACGCATATTGAAGGAATTGATTATCTTGTTTGATGCTGCCATCTAGTAGCCTCTGTTGGGACTATGTTGGATAATAATAATGTGTCTGTTCTGTATAGCTATCTCGCGGTGAATTTTGGTACTAAATACTCATCACAAAGAACACCGCATAGTATTAGAAAAGTTCATAGATGGGAAATATATATTGTCTTTTTTCATTTTGAATTTGAATTGTGTAGATATAAGTGAAAATTTTGTTGTGAAGATTAGTATGTTTATTTCTTTGATTTGTATAAAGAGATTTTAGTTGGATTTTAAAATAATTCAAATTTAAAAAGAGGTAGAGGGATATTTTATACTGATGTAAGGGAAATGTTAATTAAATTTAAATTATTTTAATTCACATAATATAATGTACATATAATATCATGATCAATGGCTAACTAGTTTGACTGTTATTACACTTCACCTTGTTGGCAGAACTGGAGAACAGCTGTTAATTAACTAAAGTCATTCTTGTAATGAGCTGTTTCTTCAAATCTTTCTTAGTTGGCTGATTCCCTTAAAAATTGTACAAACTCGTGAAAATACGAGTTCAAGCATTAGGCCTACTGTACTTGAAACAGTCATAGTCCGTAGGAACTGGGAATCACAGCCTATTTAAGCCAGTCAAATCGTAGGAAATTTACCAAGTAAGACTGTTGCCATTTAATTACTGATATAGTAATATTAGGTATCATTTATAAGGAAGATTATAAAGGATCTTCATTATTTTGAAGAATAAAACTATAATTTGTTAATACCATGCATTGGAGTAATTTGTGCAGCATCCTACCATCTGAGGGAAAACACCAAATGATAGGTTATCTCAGCAAACACTGTCTTAGCTGTTAGCTTGGTGTTGAAGAATAATAATTCTAAATTAAATCTTGCCTACCTACTCTCCGGTGATTGGCCATACAGGGGTACTGGGTAGCGTATAATACACACTGTGACCAGCCACGTTCCTTGATATTTATTTTATCCTGTCATGTAAGTCATTTTGGTGAAATAACAATAAACAAGAAGAAAACAATCTCTACACATACCAGACAGAAACCTACTCTAAACATTTAAAATTGTAGTCTGTCAGCTAATTCATTAGGATGAACCATTAAAGAAGTATGGTTGTACCATAAACAAAAAGAATTAAATATAGACCATCAGCTGTGCTGCGGTTACCATAGGTACTGGCGCACACCGCTGGGAGCGCCATGTAGTTACGGCGTACTAGCTACGTAACTACACGGCGCTACCAGTGGTGTGCGCCAGAACCTTTGGTAACCATGGTAACCGCAGCACGGCTGACAGTCTATATTTAATTATTTTTGTCTATGGTTGTACCAAATTATGATCTTAGTATTGTAGAAAAATAGAGAAATAACTAGGGCTGGGACTTAATGACAACAGTTCTCAAAACCATAATTTCTGATTGATGTTTGATAATTGGCTTTTTGATGTATGGATTTAACAATACAGATAAATTTGTTTCAGACTGTGTCGATTTCTATGCTGCTACGATACTCTCATCATCAGATATTCGTTTTTATAGGTGAGTATTAGTTTTATGCAGGGAAATTGCAAAGTAATCTAAGCTTATTCTGAAAATTGTTTAGTTAGGCTTACAACTTAAATGTATTGGAATGGAGATGTATTTTTGTTCAGATTTTTGGGTTGTGGATTTTACTGTTGAAGGTTATTCACCAAAATCTTTTTGACTTATAATAATCATGACTTGTTGTTTTAAACTAACTTTTGTGAACTTTTAAGAGCTGTGTTATGTTGACCGCCTTTATTTACGGTTTTTTATCACTGAAACTTCGTTAGAAATTATAAAAGCCCAATTTTTGGCAAACCGCAAACATTTTCAGATTACCTTGAGTTGGGACTAAACTGCATCTTATTAAAAAGAGACATGTAAACATTTCTATGAAGTAAAAATCTTTTTTAAATGTATATATTTAAGTTAGTTTGTCTTCCCAATTGTACAATGTATTCCAATAAAAATATTCCAAGCGATATTGTTTTTGAACCCAGATGCTATATATCATTGCATTGGGCTATCAATTGATGTTGGATAGTAACAAAACCAGGGTTTGGACCATCACCTTACAAACAAGTTAAAGAATGCCAATGCCAATGGCATAGTAAGCTACAAGTAAAAATATAGACTTTTTAACAGTCTAATCTCTTACATCCTTGACCACTTTATAATATTTCATAAAGACGAGAGAGCTTTATTAGTTTTCTGCATCTCCATTCTATACACAGCTCTCTAGCTCGCCAATGATTGAGAGAGATTCTTCTGTACCTCAGGAACAAAATATTAGATAGTACTGATCTTCTGTTAGAAAGATAAATGTAAAACGTACTATTGTGATTGCATTACAAGTAAAGGTGAAGTGTGAAGAACTTGTGTTTCAGTCAAGATGGTTTTGTGTTTCAGTTGATCTACTACAAATGCTGGAGTTCAACGTAACTATCACATTCCCGGCCGCGCCTCTCCTCACAGTGATTCTCGCTCTTGTTGGTAAGTTGGCACTACTTGTGTATTTTTATTTGTTATTTGGAGTATTTTTGGTAAACTTCTGGTTGGTAAGTCGTGTGCTACTTGTAGTTTTGTTGTTTAGCCAGACGATTCTGAAATGCTAGATAGTCAAGGCCACTTTTAAAATTTATTTTGCTTCTCACAGTTCTTTTAGTTTAGCTATTCTAAGACCGCAGCTGCACGTAAAGTAGGTATGACATTCTCAAAACAGCAACGCATCTCTCAACAAGAGAAAAACCTTTTTGTGTCGCATCATCTCAAAATCAATATAAACTTCTTGAAAGCCCAATACTTCAATATACATATTGATTTTTTAGCTCTACACACAATAACTACAATGAAACCTAAGTATTTTTGTTTTTAAGGGTAAAAGATCAGTTAAAAAAAAAATTTCAAAACTCTTTACATCCCATTCCTATGGCAATCTTGCTGGTTTGCAAATTCATTCAAGAGCATCAATATCAATTATTTGAGATGGGGACGCCACCTGGGTGCGTATTTTAACACAAAATATGAGCAAAGGATGAGTGTAGAATGTTATGAGATGATCTGTGTAGCTTTGGTACCGAACAAGATCAGCTGGTTCATCAGTCAGGATCATTTATTTGAAGCCCAATGATCAGGAACAGCTGGGTCCGGTTTTGAACCATAACCATCAAAAAGCTACTGACTTTCCTCAGGAATCAGGATACCTTTTAAATTGTTAGGTGATTACTTTACCCAGCCAGTATTCAGCCCTATAAGGGTAAAATGTGAATAGTAGGCCTAAAGTGTAAGTGAAATAAATAAATTTGCCAAATTTGATCAAAATAGCACTAAACAAGCAAACTACAACAGTTAAAAAATATACAATGTACAGTTTTTCTGGAATTTTTTCTATATCCCTACATTTTGGCCCTACTCAATGGCTGTAATGAAAATGAACATTTAATGTTTAAAGAGTAAAAATAAAATAAAACAATTTTCCAAAAACCTTTAAAACCCCCACATAATTGTTCCCATTAACCGATCCAGCTTGTTCCCAAAGGCGTATAAGTTCATCGTGTCCTACACATTCATTCCAAATTTGATCAAAAAGCCATTATTATCAATCAGACCAGAATTACTTTAGTTACTGTGTTTAAGGACATGCACACACAGATTGAAATAGGCCTACTTAACTATGTTTAAACATTTTTGAACAAATTGTGTTTTTGGCCTTAGGGGACATAAAAATTAAAAAGTAAATCAGTTCCTTGTCTACGTCTTACAAAGACTTTAATGGCTGCTTTCCTTTGGGGGAAATTTGCTAAAATTTGAAGGAATAGAGTTTTGGGCCTCTGGCGATATCAAAATGAAAAAGTTAATTTATTACTGTACCACCTACAGTAATAGTGTCTTCCCTATATCGGAAATTTAAATTTTCAAAAAAGAGTATTTCAATTACTATTTCAGCAAGAAATGTTAACAAAATAAAACACGTTAAAAACTAAAAGAACAGTTCACAAACTGTTAACTTTAAAAAGTACTCACAATGTATTTTCTCGATGAAATAACACTGTTTAAAGTTAAACGGGAGAGTGGAAGGTTTAATAGCCGGGGAATAAAAGCGGCGGACGGGTTATAAAGCAAGAAACAAAAACAGACTTAGAGGACTTTACATGAAATATGGGGAAAAATGAAAAGTTGACAATGACCGGGAAGGTTTTACGGAACAAAAGAGCGAGAGACAATAGCCTTCTGCTGCCCAGTAATACATACTTGACGTGCAAATGCAAATGTAACAGGGTTAAACTAGAACAAAGTTTACAATCACAGGGGAAAAATGTTGTTTTATTAGCTATATATATATATATATATATATATATTAATGTTTTATTATTCAGAAAAAAGTGCTTGGGATTTGAAGTTCAATGTTAAAAGTCTGTATATGTAGAGACAATTAAAAAACAAATTATGGATAAACTAGAATTGTTACAGTTATGTTTTGATTGTTTACAACTTTTTAATTTCAACAAGGGAGCTTTAAATTAAAACTGAAGTGAATTTTAGTGGATTTCCCTGAAATAAACTGAAAGCCTTTAATCATACAAAGTTAATCGTTAGCTTAGGACCACAGTAACTTTTTGTTTTAGTAAGAAGCGAAAGACACAAATATTATTCTACATTTAAATGGCTGTAAAAACTATAACTTTCATAAAAATACTCCATCCAAATCTTACTAAATGTTTTATAATTGAAATTCAGAGTACTTTTGAACCTACTTTTGAGTACTTTTGAATACCTATGTAGTCTTAATATGGCAAAGTTATCTGTATTAAACTAGAACAGTTTTAAATTACCTTGCTCCTTCAAGTGATCTTGTGTTAGTAGTAGGACACCAAAATCGTTTCGGATTGCTTAACTTCAAGGGCAAACAAAAAACATCTTGTAATCCATCCAACTTGGATAGATTATTTGTCAGAATATCCCTGCATCAAAACAATACAATAATTCAATAAAGAAGCAACTTGTGTTAGTAAAACCAATTGAAGTCCATACCAACTGTACTTAGATTATATTTGCTTCTGAGTATCTATTATGTAATCCAAATTTGTTTTAGTGCTACAATGTTCTCTTATTTGGAAACACCCTTTTAAAACAATAAAATAATTCAATAAAAAGGCAATTTCTGTTGATGAAAAACTATGAAGTCATTCAACTAGCACAGATTATACTTTGATTATTTTTGCTTACAAGTATTTATACTTTCAATTAAAATCCATTATAATGTTAGAACTTTCTCTATATTGAAAATCTTCCCTTATTAAAATAATACAATAATTCAATACAAAAGGCATATCCCTGCTGGCAAAGAAATAATTGATGACATTACACATTACACCAAGATTCTTATTGCTTTAAAGTAACTATTATGTAATTAAAATCTAGTGGTGCATGTTAGGACTTGCGGTAATAGATTCCTTGAAGCAAAATTCACTGTCTGACGGGAGTTAATCGTTTCACATTCTCGCATTGAGTTTCAATCCAATATCGGGTTGGCCGGAGGGATATTGACTTAATTCAGTAATTTGGTCCCTATCAGATGTGCTTGGGTAAGACGTGCCATCACGGACCGTTTCTGAGGTCAAATGCAATCTGCAGAGAAACTGTGTTTCTGGACAATTCTATCACGCTCGTCAATAGATTAAATACTTCATGAAGTACATTCTTTATGAATTGATAGAGTATTAGACTGGTTAATGTCTTAAGCATTAAAATAAATTCTTAATATAACGTTTTTAAGATGTTAACATTAAAACAGGATCTATTTTTATTGTTTAAAAACAAATTTATATTTGCCAAGGTACTAAACCATTGATTTAATATGTTGTTGAAAACATATTTTATCAATCAATAGAAATTAAATTGATCTATATTTTATTTATACAAGAGTAATTTATACAGGAAAATAAAACAGGAAACATTATACAGCTATCGTAAATTCGGTGTTATTAGTCTACAACAAATTTTTTTTGTCAATAATATGAAATCAACGTCATCATGACTATCATCCTTGATCCCGGCAACAACTTGAATATCGTCTGTGATTGTGGCAACATTTCAAATATATCCCACCGATGCGAATACATCCTTATCGCCCATTGTGATTCAGACAATATCATGCAGTCCTGAAATTTCTGCAATGGCATTATAGTAATATTAATACTCAAAAATACACGATGCATATTCTTTGGTAAATCTGAACATTATTTTGCTATTAATTTACCTAGCCTATATTGTGTGACATAAATTTAATTGTAAAGTATTACATAAAATAGTTTGGTTGAAACATGAAGCTAATATCATGTTTATTTTGTTCAAAACATTTTCTTTGTATCTTTTTCTTAAGCTTAATTTTATACAAAATTAAAAACTATATCGGTGGTGTGGTAAAAAAACAAAAATTCTTCCGTGTAAATTAAATTTAGTTTAAATCTGCTGTCAATTGAGACAGATATAACATATTACAGATGAACAATATAGGTAAAGTTGTATATAAATAATATTTACTTTTGAATCTCTCACCTCAAATTTTTGAAAGCCCACGGGGCAGAGCCCTAGGACTATATCGAGGCGGGAATAGTTCTATATGTATCCTTGGAGCTGTAGCTTCAATTGTGTGCAATTTGAGCCCAGTCGGTTCAGTAGTTTTTGAGATTATCTCAAACAAACACACACACACACAGACACCACCTCTTCTTTATAATAGTATAGATAGATAGATAGATAGATTACAGATGGACAATATAGGTAAAGTTGTATATAAATAAAAACTTTTATAGAACAAGATTGAAAAGTTAAAAAAAACCTGATTAATCGTCACACTTTGCATACACAGAACCTCAACCATACTTTACAGTTGACAAATATTTACTTGCTATTTTCAAACAATCATTTCCAATCAGCACAACTATCATATTACCCGCGGTTAAACTCAATATCGCCGACAATCACCAAGCAACAGTCGTAATCAGACGGTCACAAACCAGCAAATCCCATCAACTGAATAAGATAATATTAATACAGCGTGTTTGTTAAGTAATCAAACGGTGGCGCAGATCTCTATTGCCTATCAACGAACATATCGGAAAACTGTTATAATCACTTGTTTACCTTGCGTCGTATTTGATAGCTTAATTAACTCGCCTTCGCGTGTTCGTCTAATCAGCCAACTTAAACGCTTTGTACTTAAAGTCTTGTTTTCTTCATGAAGACAGGTCTCAATGAGAGGGGAGTTCAGGAGTTGTGTGTATAGGATGATGGATATGAAAGAGAACTTATTGTTTGAAAGATAATTCTGTTTCTGATCTACATGTTAATGAAACCTAATTTGGTTCCAGATTAATCTATTTATAACTGAAACCTAATTAGTTTTGATCAATATATCACTAATTTCATGGTCCCCCAGTGTGAGCTAATCAGCTGAGTAAATCGGTAAATATTCTATTTACGAAACCAGACGTTTCACCGATTCTGTGCTATGGCATCCTCAGAAGATTGATCTATATGTATTTCAATTCTATCATGGTTGAAACTTGTTTTAATTTATTTAAAATCTAAGTAACTCGGCTTAAGCTTAAAATATATTTGAAACCTAACTTGGCTCAAACTTTATTTATCTATATATAAAACCAACAAGATCCAAACCAGGTCTATGTATATTTCAAACCTAACAGGGGTTGAATTTGATCCGTAGGCTACCCATTTTAAACTAAGTAAAAAATGAGTTGTTGAAAGTAAGGTTAAATCTTCCAAGTGAATGCATTCGGTCTTTCCAAGACCGAAAAAGGCTCTACAAGTGCTATTGAACGTGAAGGTTATGCTCACTTTGTTCTTAGATTTTAATGGCATAGTGCATCATGATTTCCTGCCACCAGGTCAAATTGTCAATAACTACCACAAGCTCAATGCAGTGTATGTGAAGCAGTAGGAAAAAAAACCTGGCTTTGTGGGATGTTCATGGCTTTTGCATCATGACTTCATCACTTCACCTGTTTCAGTTGTTTGTGAATTTTTGACCAAAAACAATGCTGTAATGATGCGCTAGCCTCAATATTTGCCAGACATGGCTCCGTTTGGCTTTTTCTTATTCCTAATTTAAAGAAACCTTATAGGGCTGTGTTTTCTCAACCGTAGATGACATTAAAAGCAAATAGCTGAAAAAAAAAACTGAAATCTATCTCAAAGATTGAGTTTGAGAACTGTTTGGGGGATTGGAGAAGCTCCATGGCATAATTGTGTAATCTAATGGGGACTATTTTGAAGGCAACATCAATGTGGACGAAAAAATAAATATTTTGTAAAACAATTAAAAATACTTGTTATTTTTTAACACTTATTGTTGCCTAATAATGCGTAGTAAGTTTTTTTACAGTTATATAATCCTCTCTAAATTGATTGTTTCAAGCATGTAAAGTCAACTAAGAAATATTTTCTTTTTTGAAATATGTATGGTGTTATGTATGTGTGTGTTGTAACTTATAAATTCTTATTAGGCCTAGTTCAATTAAGTCTTAACTTTATCAATCTTGTTATGTCCTCCTAAGAGAACAAATATCTAGAAATAAGGCTTGCTCGGTCACATATAAATATTAATTTTGTGGTATTCAGGGTGTACTGACAAGTTGGTCTGTGTTGTTAACCATCTTCACATCTTCAAAGCAGTTACAGATATGTCTTAGGCTAAAATAACAGTGTCAATGTTAATCCCCAATCTGTTAAATCCATCCCATAGTTCAATAATCATCTTGTACCTAATCCAACCACGCCCTGACACCATTACTCACCCATTACTTAATGGAATATTTTCTACTAACTTTCATAATTTTTAACAAAGTTTCAATATGTTGCAGGCATGGAAGCCATAATGTCCGAGTTTTTCAATGACACCACAACTGCCTTCTACATCATTCTAATTGTGTGGATAGCTGATCAGTACGATGCTATTTGTTGTCACACTTCCATCACTAAGCGGTATTGGCTCAGGTAAGTCCAACTTTTCAATTAAATCAGGTTTTCAAATTTGTTTTACAGCAGCTCTACTGAAATGTATACTAAATGTACATTTTCCCAGGGTTATTAGAGCAAGGATTGATTTGGAGAAGGGTCACAATGTGACAAATAAATAGTGTACAAAATATTAAACTCAAAATAAGTACTACTGAGTGGTTACAGTACCCACCCAATACATAGAAAGTTGCTGGTTCAGTCCTGGGAAAGTTCCAGGAAATGTTGTTGTCGCCTAAACTCAACATGTTTCATTTTTCAACCAAAATTCTAATGTTCGTTGTACATTTTTACAAAGCTGATAATTTAACATCTGAATCTTAAGCTCAAGTACCATTGCCAATTGTTTACTCTTGTAATTATATTAAACTCTTTGAGCTCCAGGCTATATTAGAGAAAAGACCAACCAAACTTCAAATATTTTATAAAAATGTCAGATTAGTTCCATATCTATTTTTCATTAGATTTAATGAGTACTGAGGTTTGCCACTACACAGCAAAAGTATTCATAAACAAGCAAATTACTACAGTTTATTTTTTCTTCATAAGAAAAATATAGGAATTTCAAATTTACAGTTCTTTGAAAGTATTTCTGTAACAGTCAAGCACACAACCACACTTCAATGTATTCATTATTTGTTTTTATTGGCGAAATTGAAAATTGTTTAAAAAAAGTTCCTAAATTTAATGTTTGAAGGTCAAAGAAATTTACTTTTCAACAAATAGTGTTTTTGGCCCATGGACATGAAAGTGAAAAAGTAAATCGGTCTGGTTTAATAGGTCCAACCGTGCCACTTACGGTTATACTTCCTTATAGGGAAATTTGCTAAAAAAACAGAATAATTACAGAAAAATCCACAAAAAATAACTAGTTTATAACCCAAAATATCACACAAATACTTGTCAAGTTAGAACACACTGTTTACTTCTCAAAACGTTCATGGGTAGGGTATGAACTTAGACGTGCAAGGAAGTAATGTCCAATGATAAATGTTTTTAAATATTTTTTTATGTTAAAAGCTCAGGATCGTGTTCGCATTACTTTAGACCTAGATGTTGTGGCATTATGATTTTGTGATTGGTGAGATTTGAACTCGGGACCTTGGGAACAAAATCCTCTGCTCTACCACAAGACTAACTCGTACCTCGGTTCAATGGGTTTTAACACACACCCATATTAAATTTAAAATCACCAGTTCCGAGAATGTTAAAAGTAAAGTGCAAGGAAGACAGCCCGACTGTCGTTGCTGTTTAATGCCTGGAGATTGTGGACAGTACCTGTTGACAGCTATGGCTGTGATAAGTGTAATTGTAAGGTGGAGAGCAGGAGAGCAGCTAGCGTAGCAATGTGCAGACAGGTGGAAACTTGAGTTGGAGACTGGAGTAGTCTGCCAAGATAAAGGTTTTGAATTTACTTTTTACTTTACTCCAATCTTGTTTAAAGGTTAAAGATTTTGATTGGTGTTTTCAGAATGTTTATCGGATATATTGACATTTGATAATTCATTTTGGTAAAATTTTCCCAAATGTGTTATTATGAATACAGTAATACAGAAAACTTTTTTACACGTATGTATTAAAATGCCAGTGTCTAGAACTTTTTATGAAGTGGCCTCAGTTGGGGACACTGAATATTACTCCAGTTTTGAATTTTAATTGATATTTCTCGTGTATCTACTCTCTGAAAAATACCATTTCAGGATGAATTATTAGTGTTATGTTATGTTAATTTTCATTATATCTATTAGATGTTGAACTCTAATTTACTCAGGTAGGTTAGTTGAACTCAATTTTTTTTTTTTAAATAAATCACACTCAAATTTTTTTGTAAAGGTGCAGAAATAGATTTGACCATTATCATTATAACAATATTCCAAGTAAATTAATTACATCTGGGGGTTTTAATTGGCATAAAACTATTACCTACCGTATGCTAAAGCCCAATAAAAAAGAGACCGAATTTCAATTTCTTTAAAAGTAGTAGCGCAAAAGCGAAAAATCTTTGTCTCGAGCATTTGAAACTAATATGATTTTGTTTGTATATCATACTTTTATCTGCTGTCATCGGTGAGCGTAACAGTCGAAACGGGTTTTAATGAATAGAGGAGAGAAACATTCTGTGTGAGTAGCACTTAAACATAGTCAACATCACAAAAGTGTACCTAATTTTTGTTTTAAATTGCATACTTTTACATAGTACAACATTACAGAGTCGTTTCTTATTTCGGCAATCTATGGGGGTCTATGCTTTGTAATAAAAATGTTTTTTGTAAATTATAAAATGAGTTCGTTTAGGATATTGTTTTAAAGATTAACCCCAATCAACCAATACACCCAATTAATTGAGCAAGGCTCGGTACTCCGGAACTAGTAAAGAAGACTTGATAAACAGGTATGATAAAATCTGTTTTGTCTTTTATAAGTAGGCTATAGTCTAGGTACTAGGAACATGGATTTCATATTTATTTTTTTCCAATCAACCTTAAACATATTGTTATTTAGTTACAAACTGGATCTTCGAGGAACTCAGTTAAAATGATTAATTTGTTTTATTTTTTATAATACAACTTAAAGTCACATAATATTAACTTTATTCTAGTTCAAAATAGAAAAATATAAGATTTTATGATGTAAGACAGTTAAACAAATTTTTTGCACAAAAAATATATATTTAAATCATAAAGAGTTATAATATGTCTTTAAGACAATGTTTCAAAAATATCCCCTAAAACATTTCCTGGGCTTTGCTAATTGAGAGAAATGTGTATACAAGCTGTAGCCACTCAAAACATACCACAAGTGTTTTCATTTAAAAATTGTTTTTGTATTGTTTGACAAATAAGTGAAGCTGTGGTGGTTCTAAAATCACCCTTGATATACGTTTATTTGAGGGAGGGAAACACGACAATAAATTTGTTTTTGGGTAGTTCAGCCAATAACTATCAACTCTATTTGCTATTCATTCATGTTACCATTCCCCCATAAAACTAATTATTTTATAAAGTTCAAAACCACTGTAAAAAAAAGCCTATTTGAAAATTTATTTCAAATCATTTATGCAAAGATTGAAATATACCAATAAAGTATGAGTTTGAAGTTTGATTTTATTTTGTGATGTTATTTATTTGTAAATTAAATTTTTTATTCAAGGCCTAAATTAGGTTTTTACTATATAAATTTTACTTCTTATCCCTTTGTTCGTTATAATGTGTCACCTTTTTTGTTGTGACAATTAATTGCATATGTTTTCCATTTTAGAAAGAAATATTCCAAATAATAAAAATAAATATCATAAAAGTATTGTGTCCATGGGAAAAAATCAATGAAATCTAACTTTGTAATAGCACACATTGCAATTATCAGATCCGCTCTGTTGGCTTATGAACTGTAGTATTCAATATTATTTCAACAATTCCGGCTCATGATTGACAGTTTTTAATGTGTAATATTCAGAGAGCAATCAGGTTAGAAATTAATTACCAAATAAGTTAAATTTTGTAAGCGTGTGGTGCAACTAGCGTTTTGACGCGGTGGAATTGTTACCTGACGTCACAACAGGCTTCAATCAGCATCAAACAATCTCTGCGTCGTTGCGTCGTTCAGCCGGTCCAATTTCACCCGAAATATGTTTACAGCATAAATGGTCTGATATGTAAATGAAATTTAGGTTTTATCGAAAGTCGACTTGTGTTTTGGTAATGGAAAACTGATCGGTTTGTACAGCGTTGTATTTTGGTAGGTGGTATTTTATTTTTATTTTCTCCGTTGATTACTGGAGAGTAGTAAAAAAAATGTTAAGGTTATTATTATTATTACTTATTGATTGATTTGGTCTATTTGGTTTTAAATTAATTAAATTATTATTTTTACCTTACAATATCCGTTTGGTGTTGGTAGATAAACAACTACATGTTTCGTGGCGACTGCCACATCCTCAGGTTATCCTCTTCTCAGATTCGTCATCAATTTAAAAACATAAAACACTGAACACACGTAGAAAACACATTACATTTATTTCTGTACAGTCACGGTGCGTGCACGCGTTTGGTCGGCAAGAAGATTTTGAGGGGTCTGAAGATTTTGAGTCGCCGCCGGCCCGACCAAACGCGTGCACGCACCGTGACTGTACAGAAATAAATGTAATGTGTTTTCTACGTGTGTTCAGTGTTTTATGTTTTTAAATTGATGACGAATCTGAGAAGAGGATAACCTGAGGATGTGGCAGTCGCCACGAAACATGTAGTTGTTTATCTACCAACACCAAACGGATATTGTAAGGTAAAAATAATAATTTAATTAATATAAAGCAATATCCAGAAGTAGGACAATGAATTCTGATTTAAATTAATCTTGTATCAAGTTAACCCTCAAAAAACAAACATAAAAAAAAATTAAGAAATCTATCTAATGAAGGAAGAAACCATGGTTGGTAATTAATTTGGAATAGGAGCACTTTGGTTTTGCTTAAAACCAACATGTAATAAATTATTTACCAACCTATAAAATAGTACTAATGCTAAAGTTTGTTTTTATTCCTGGCTTAGTAGTAGGCTTAAGCAATTTTGTTAGGTAATTTACTTTTCATTTCTTTTATTTTTATCTACACCAGTTTATGCCACTCTTTTGTTAGATAGCATAACAAATTATTAGCCCAATAACATGGTATCTGTGTCTGGTAAATAAGTAGGCTACATTTTGTAAAAGCGAAACACTGAAATACAATATATACTATACTGACTTATTTTCCCTTTGTTCTTTGTAAACTCTTTAACTTTATGTTTTGGCAGTTACGTTGATTCCTGGGTTTTAATGTTGAACATATGAATATTTTAACTTTCTCAACTTTACAGATGATTGAAACGAAACAATTAATTGTGAAATATCTATAAGAACAACAGAAACACTTTTTGAACAACAGTAGACCTGTTGTTGATTCATAAAGTAATTTTGACTTTAAATTATCCCAATTATTAAGCCAT